CATATGAATAGCTCTTTACTCACTAATAATGTGTTTGATCTCTGATTGACAGCAATCGTCACAATTTGGGAATCCCTTTGATTTGAGTTCATTGCTGTCGAACCCGGCGCTCATGAATATGGCCACACAGTTGATGAGTGATCCAAATATGCAGAACTTGTAAGTCATGTGTTGTGTGATTATGTGATACCATTTGTATGATTGTCAATAGGATGGGTGGTTTGATGTCGGGTGCGATGCCCGCCGCCAATAACAACGCCCCGGAAAGCAGCGAAGGGGGCGCCGCTGGTGGTGGCGGACTGGAAGCGCTTTTGCAGGCGTAAGAGCTGTCGATCTTATAATTGTCAACATTATCCTAATGTCTAAAATGGTTTTAGTGGTCAACAAATCGCGGCCCAAATGCAGGCCTCGAATCCTGATTTAGTGAATCAGTTGCGGAATGTAATGACAGTCAACCCAAACGCTCCGAATCCGGACGAAAATCCAAACCCAGATGGCAGTGAAGACAAGAAGGATTAGCCATTGAGTAGATGTTATACAGTATATTAATAAACAATATATAAGTTTATATTTCTTTAAATAAATTTTAGTAAAATTTGATAACCTATTCCACAAATACAAAAGCTATTTCATCAAACTTGTAATCAATTTTTAAATAAGAATCCGTTATTTTAATTGTCGGCAAACAATGCATTCCCACTTCAATCGGATAAACGCTTAATTCAAAGTCAACGTAAGCCGACGGTTCCATCACTCCTAGGGGTCGACCCGAAAGACCTAACCATAAGAGCGGCTGATTTGGTGCCGAATTATCAAAATATAGGATCGGGTCTACCGTACGGTTGCTGTCATGATATACCGTAAATATATCTTGAGATTTAAAACAGTAAACAATCATTTGGTGTGATTTACCAGCAATTTATGAGACGGAATGTGACCTCGAATTTGGACTTAAGACTCGCTTTACTTTCTATTCTTTCGATCATTAACTTCATGTCTCCATAATTCGGCGGCTATTCGATGGGAACTTAGCTTTAATTTGTGACATGAAAATGTGAGATAATTAAAGTACAATACCATTCGTTCGAGTTGTGAGGTCTGGAGGTGTCCGCGCTCTCCAATACCCGTCACCCAAATGATATCAAGTTTTCCGATTTCAGTCAAGTTTTTTAAAACACTCGAATTGTATTTAATGTTAGGTTTGGGTGTCAGACAAAACAGGTATTGACGACATTCTTGACTATTAAATCGGTTCACTTTGCCGAACACCCAGTGCTCCACATTGTCTTCGGCTACGATTGTGTTCATAGGTTTGACATCAAAATAAGGAGACGGCTCTAACATCACTCTTTCCAAACACATGGGAGTTGTGGTCATGTTCTGGAGCAGTGCTTCCAAGTAGACCTCATCGCTCTGTTGGACACAATTAGGCACACAATCAGTATTCAAATTAATTACTGACTTTCAATGCTTACAATACAATCCTATAATTCATGCAATTTGTTTGAAATCATAGTTATTAGGGATTAAGTGATTAGTTAAAGACATAAGTGGTGCGAATAATTGATCCAATTATTAGGGTGCGAATCAGTTGAGTTTCAGTGAGATTTAGTATCGTTTGTTAGAAATTAAAATATGTGTTAATTTCAAGATTATCTGTGATATAAGCAAATGAATGGTTAACAGTAAGTGATGACTACCTCTGCGTTATAGAACTTGGTCTTCACGTCCAATGGTTTCAAAACCTGAAACTTAAAGAACTTTCGGTAATTCTGTCGTTCGGTTGAGTTCATGAAGAAACCAATCGTACAAATGAGTCTGAAAAGCATCACGAAATGAGTTGTCAATCGGTGGTCACATTGTGTGCCGACTTACACATGAGGACCCAGTTCTTTGACCTCGTGTTTCATAATATCGTTCAGACTTTGCTTTGCGTCCAAAACCGATGCTTTCATTTCGCC